CTCGTGCTACAATCGATTTATTGAAAGACACGTTTAGTGACCGCCTAATTTGACGTTTTGGACCTGTGAATTGGCCTCCAAGATCTTGCGATTTAACACCGCTACACTACTTTCTGTGGGGCTATGTAAAGTCATTGGTCTATGCGGATAAGCCACAAACGCTTGACCATTTGGAAGACAACATTCGCCGTGTTATTGCCGATACACGCCCACAAATGTTGGAAAAAGTCATCGAAAATTGGACGTCCAGATTGGACTACATCCGCGCCAGCCGTGGCGGTCATATGCCAGAAATCATATTTAAAATGTAATGCCACAAGATTATCTTTCGGATAAATAAAATTCATGTCAATCGAATAATCCCTCGTTGTTTTATTGCAAGTTAAAGTTCTATACATCGAAAAAAAACACCCCTTATTTGTAAATAAATGTCATGACGCATTTAAGTCAAACTTTTGTGCGTCGAGGCATAGCTATTTATGGTAAAGTATTCGTATTAGGCTGAGACGTTCTAACCTTCCCAACCCGCTTGTGAACTGTGGGTCACTCGGTGAAATTTAAATCGATCGCTGGAACGTTTCAGGTGAGTTATAGCTATATACACACGACGCATAAGAATTATTGATTATCTTAGGGCTTAAACCCATAGCTGGTCATAAATGTTTCTTTCACCTATTAAAATTTTATATTTCTAGCATTCTTCAAGACGGATTCTTGGATGGAAATATTATCGCATGCGATTTGAATAGGTTTATATTATTCTACTCGGCTCTAATCTACTCGATAGTTTTTTGTCTTTCCACAAATTTAATAACTCAATGGACAATTATTTCACGTGAAGCTCCAAGCCACTGTGATTTCGCAAAACGGAGAAATGCATCGGTATTATTCAAGTTGGCAACCTTTATAGAATTGACTTTTCCGTAAATATATTTCGTTACATTACTTAGCCGACTTGAGCTTTAAAGTGCTAAAATAGAAACTTTATAAGGAATAAAAAACGTTAAGCAAGTAATGAAATATGCTTTAAGTAACTTCGAATTTTACGAATTGAGTTATGAACGATTTGAGAAATTTAGAGCAAATTACTACAAAGAATAGTTTTTAGTACAAAGGACAACTCCACATCCTTGGAAAAAGGCAAAAGATTGATTGAATTTGTTGCCTAACAAAATGTTGGTTTTAGTAAATAATTATTTATGTGCCAATAAACTATTTTTTGGAGCTCAATAACAGTGCCAGTGCCAGTGGGCATAGCATACCAACTTGGCTTCACCAATTTACTGTTCGATTAAGTCCGGTATGGGGCTCAGATGTTCTACGATCAGAGCAAAACGTTGTCGTTGCCCAAAGTAAAATCTAAACTTAAAATTATGTATTTCAAGTATTAGTGAACCATATACTTTATAATGTTTAAGTTAAATTTCTAGAAAATATTGCAATCGCTTCCGATTATGGGGGATCGATAGTAACGCAGTGTAAAACTTAAAGAAATATTTAATTATTCAATAAATATTGAATTACTATCATTTACAATTACATTTACAATTGCAAAAAATTTGTTTGAAAACGTCCATTCAACATTCGCATGCGCGAGATTTAAAATCTCGTTTTTAACCAACGACCTTGCGGCATTTAACAACCAATATGTCCGCTGAAAACAAGTTAAGCGTAAAATTAACTGTTTGGACAGAAAATGGCCCAAACGTAGGATAGTAGTAGTTCTTATTGTCTACCTTAACGGCTCAGTTTCGTTTTTGGTTAGTTAGTTCAAGTAGACAACGAAAATAAAATACAAAGTATCTGGGAACTACTATCTATGTTTGTGAATTGGAAATCTGGCGGTTAGGTTACCTTTGCATTTTGACTATGACTTAGCATTGTACCTCAACTCCTAGGTTTTGAGTTGAAAGTGGTAAAGAGAGTACAGAGTTAGTAAAAACGAGAACATTGTGGATTTCAGATGTCAGTGATAGAGTCAGGTTTATTGATTAAATATGTACAGAGCCACCGGCCAGGAGCCAGCTGCACAATTTATGATTGTTACGCGAAGACCCAATGGAATTTTCATTTCCATCTTTTACTTGGTTACGTGCTAAGATGAATGCCAATAAACCAGAACAAATTCGAGCACTACCACCGGCGGCTAAAACCCACGTTCCATTTATTCTCATTAAAGTTGCCTTACCTGCGCTAAGAAATCTTCTTGACAAACTGGACAAAAGAACAAGAAAAATCACACAATTCGTCCACAATCAAACAGAATGGAGAACAATTCGATGTTAAGATCGCATTCTTCATTTAAATACGTTTCTCTCCAGTATGCCAAAATAATTTCATCTGTGTTAAAAAAAAATGGCGAAAATTATCTTGAATACTAAAAAAAAATACTTTTACTTTTACTTTTAATTGAACTGTAATGTACCAAACTTTGACTTGATTGTGAATAAAATGGCTCAAAATAACAAATATGTTGTCTATGCGTTTTGTTTCGGTGTCACCCTAGATATTCATAATGGTTTCGAGCAGTTTTGTTTTGAAGCATGTGGTGTACATGCGGGAGCCATTACTAAAAGATAGTAGGTACAGTATAGATTTTGTTTTTCAACTAGTGAGCATGAGTAACCTTAGCAATAGAGAAAAAATGTTTTTTGTTTATTTCTACAATTATACGCGGTTGTAGAGTACAGATAGGGTATCGAAACATATTAAATTTCAAAAGAACTGACTCATATTTCTTATTATAACTTTATGAAAGCGTACACTAAATGTGTAACTTATAACTTTAAAACTAGATGATTGTGTATTTTCGTTCATTATTTCGGCATACTGAACATTATAAAACTATCGTTGTAAAAGTAGACTAAATAATAACGAGTTATTTTATGACAACTTTGCGGAAGAAGCATTTGTTGTTATGTTAATAAATACGTATTCGATAACGATGCAAACCGTTATCGAATGCTTCAGTAAAAATTTCCGGGCTCCCCAATTATTTCGAAAAAAGGGATTTCCTTTCATGAATAAACGATCGTTCCAAAAATGTTTCCATCCGTTCATTCGACCCGTAGCTGTGCACCCCCCCATCTTTTCAGTTACTATTTATATCTTTCGATTAGATCTGTATATTGATTTTTATGGAATCCACGGGTTCAAGGTTTCCTCGAGTTGGAGTTTTTCTTCAATTGATAATAATTTCGTTGTTGTAAACCACAACGAATGAGAGACCAAATTTATTTTGGACCGATCCTATTAATTTGTCATTGCCATTTATGTTAGTCTTCCTATTTTAAGTTCCAATGGCGTCGCTGTTAAATATTCAATTACCAACACAGACGTTGATTTAAATCGCAACATTACCTAATTAAAGGCATCACGCAATGGTAAAATTTGTTATTACCGACGACCTTTTTGTATCGTTATTTTACAATTTAGAAAGCTCCTAAAACTAATTAAAAATATAGGACATGTTTGTAATTTAAATGTGCGTAGCTACTAAATATTTCATCATTTTAAAAATGACAATTAAAAAATAAATTTACTTCATAATAGTAGGTTTTGCGTTACATATTTCTAGTTATTATAATCTCCAGTTAAAAAGTACGATAATTTAACTGAAATTATGAAAAGCTTGGCCAATAATAATAAAGAATTTTAAGTCCCATTGTTTTTAAACTTTCAAAATACCTAAAATTATAACCAACTACAATTTTGCTCAAATATTTATTTTGTTAAGCCTGTAATACAATTAAGTTAGTTTTGCATGATCTTTGAAACTTAGATTTTTAATATGAGCTGCCAAGATATCCAGTTTTTAAAAATCAGCTTTGAAACAAGGAGTCCTTAGAGAAATGAAGCGAAAAATACTTTTAAACGACAGATTTCTATCGCTATGAAACTAGGGGAATACGGCATCGTCATTTCTGATGATGGGTGACTTACTTTTCGTCAGTTTTGTAATTGTGATGTTTTTCTGGTTTGTGTATATGTTTTTTAAAATTAAAATTGAGAGCCAATATATACAAAACAATTTGAACTTTTGAATTGTAATAGAGGGACAATAAAGATATTTACTTCAGAAAACGTTCTCCAGCAATCACGCACCAAGAATTAACAAACAAAAAGTGAAGAAACATTTTTGTTGCGAACTATGACCATGACCATTTGTTATGACCTCGATATCGTATTCAACAAGCTTAATAAGTCAGTGAAATCCATGGGAGAAATTTTATCTGGTTGAAGTGGTCACAGATTTGCGGGAAGGCAGTTAAAATTAAAATGACGAATCAATTTTTAGAATAATAGTAATACAATGCGATGTGATAATCAGGTATCCTTGTGCAGATGTAAAGCAGTACGGAGTTTTCTCGTATAATTCGCAATCTACTTACAGAGTCAGTCATAGGTGTTCGGGAAAAACAGTAAATACGAGTCAAAATTTCAAATGCCGAGGTTCTCTTTTTTTAAATAATACACTCTTATTTTTTGATTTTAACAGCGTATTTTGATCCAAAATAATTCGATTTAGCTATATTTAGTTGGCTGGAAAAATTGGAATTTGAAAAAAAAAATTACCGCACGGGTTTAGGTTGAATAAAACTTTGAAAATAAAGACAGACCTATCAGTAACGCCCTTATAACAAGGTGCTAAATAAAGAATCAATTTTCTAAATCACTGTATGTAATTTTTTATTGTGTTCTTAATAATCGTTGTACTTCACTTTTGTAATTATTGTAAGAGTGCCATTTGTAGGATCTCAATGGAATTGTAAGTTCTGGATGCCAAATTCCTATCAGTTTCATTAAAACTACTTGGGTAATATATATTAGGAAGCCGTTTTTTCAAACTGCGCTTTTTAAATATCTTTCTTTTTAATTCATTTTTTGATTAAATCTAATCATGGATCAAAAATTTATTTTACGATCTTGACCCAATTAAAAGCAATCAAAACAGTAACTTGGAACATATCTGTATAATTGTTATACTGGATGATACTTACCAACTTCGGGACCGCAAACTAGTGGAATTATTTCCAAAATGGAGGAACAGGAAGCATCCTCAAAGCACAATTGACGAGCCAACAGGCAATTCAGAATGGCAACTGCCGATTTAGTGTTTGGACCTGAAACAACAATTGCTTTTAGTTTAATGTATTCATCCAAATTTGCTATATTATCGACGTGGGCAAGACATAATTGAGATTGATATCGTTAAGTTTCCGACTTATTTGCTTAACTTAACGCTATAGTATTCTCGGAATCAGGTTCAACTTTAAGCATTAATCCGAAGTAAACCGGCTATTGCATATTCGCAAAGTCAACTGTGCAAATGTAAATAAACTGGCTTGCTCTTTGGTATCTTTGGGGTTGTTTACACATAGTACGTAAGACTAATTTCCGCAAATTACCGTAACCGAATAGAAACCCACAAATGCTTTCGGTGGGTAATCAATCCCGGAGGGAGTTGCGACGGAACTGACGTTTGTCTTTATTCCGCCGAAATCGCATTTCCGTACAGGACGCGTTCCGCATATAAAATATTTAAATTTGATGCTTAAACTTTAACCAAACTTAATTTAGTATGTATTTCAAAATCTAAACCCAATTGGAAGTGTTTAAATTAAAGACCTAAATTCGCAAGGTAAAAACATATTTAGTAGTATATTATGCGACAAGGCATTTGACTCAGGAGTTTATTTAACACGAGCGGAGCGTGTATTTAATGAAAGAGTGACTTAAAAAGTTTACCGAACGTGTTGCATGCTATACTTTTTCTACGACCGTTAGTTTTTGGGTACATTTTCGCAAAACAACGCGAATACATTCGCTGACATAGCCTTCAGAATTGACAAACGTCAAATTCTAGGAGTGGGAAATATCTTCGAAAACATCCGATTGCTTCCAAACCCGTGCGGTAAAATCCCGGAAATGTCCGAAATGGCTCGGATCCGTGGAAAACGAAACTGACTCGGTAAAGTGACGCTTCCCGCAATCTAGATCGGTGTGTAATTAGGTATTTTACAGACGGGAGTAGAAATCATATTTCAAAAGGCAACTTTAATAGAAATACGTTAAAAATACGTGCTGGATAAAGTAACGTTTCTCAATAAAGTATAGAAAACTCAAATAAAAAAGTAAATAATAACAACCCTTTAATTTTAACAAATATTTTATTATCTAGCGAAATCTCAGTTGATCAGGTAATAATATATTATGCAACAAGTGCGGTAAACGGCATTTGACTCACGAGTTTATTTCACACGAGCGAATGACTTCAAAAGTTTATCGAACGTCATACACGTGTATTTTGTCTCAGAAATAATTTTATTACTATGTATTATTTATTTTGTAGGAATATCTGAAAAATATATTAAAATCGAAATAGCAGACTTCTGAATATTTATTAGTTTCTTAGAGAGATTATTATTAAAACGAAATTAAACAAAGCGGTAGACTGTATAACTCTTCATTTGAGGTTAATTAGTAGGACTATTAGATTTTTCTTCCTGAAAACTTGACCGCGGACCATTATTTTATTTTTATATTTTGATTTTAAATTTTGCAATATATTACAATATGTATACTCCTTTTTTTACTCCTGTCTGTAAAATACCTGATTACACACCGATCTAGAGTGCGGGAAGCGTCACTTTACCACGTCAGTTTCGTTTCCCACGAATCCGAGCCACTTCGGACATTTCCGGGTTTTTACCGTTTTTACCGTTTCTTCCAGAACCGTTAAGTCACTCGTTTAGTAAACACTCCCTTCGATGCGCTCCGTTTGTGTCAAATAAACTCGTGAGTTAAATGCCGTTTACCGCACTTGTACCATAATATACTATTAACCGTTTTTAAAATATTATTTTATGGGTATTACTGTGGAAGTTTTTAAACAGGTTATTTTTGCCGATCCTGTGCATTATGATTTAAAACAACTCTTAACGGAGTTTACTATAGAAGTTATAAACATGCCGTTTGCACTTTACCGTCCTACGATTCTGAGAATTAAATGGTGTAATCGGCTTTTGAAAAATAAAAAAGTAATAACGGTTAATACGGCCATGTTATGTTTTTTATATTATTTTTTGTTTTTGGATAACTTTATAATAAACTGATTGAATGGATGTATTATATCACACCTACATGAGTTTCAAAAGTGTGACTCATAGTTATAAAAATCGGGTAAATTAATGTTAAGATTTACAAGGTTCTGTAGGTAACAATGAAAACTAGTGCCGTGGCATATTTTTAAGGAATCTGAAAATTGCCAGATTATAGCTTGTTGTCACTTAATTTAGAGAAAACCCAATTTATTAGTTAGTCCATGATGAAAGCTGGTGCTCCAGACTTGCAAGGAATAAAAAATCATAATATTGACTGTGGCTATTACACGAATTGTAAATGCAGTCTTTAAATATTTAGGGGTAGTTTTTGATCAGAACCTTAAATGGGATGACCACATCAATTATATCACTGTGAAAATTCGCAAGTTATTCCATAATATGTTTATATTACATCAGAGTTTGTCAAAGAGTTCTCTTATTAGGATATATAAATCTTTAGTAGAATCAATTTTTTCTTATGGTATATGTGTCTGGGGTGCTACAGGGGATAAGGTTCTTCAACCGCTAGCAATTAGTCAGAAGCGTGTTTTGAAAATAATGTTTTTCAAAAATAACCTATATCCTTCTAAGGAATTGTGTACTGAAGCGAAAGTACTAAGTATAAAGAAAATCTACATTAAAACAGTAATCACACTATTTGGTCTTAACAAAATTCGTAAAGAAACAATCAGCCATTCAGTAAAAACCAGATTTGTATTGTATTGATGGTAAAATTTACATCAGTTGCTTCAGTCTTCTGTTTGCAACCTTTAGAATACATAACGCCCTTCCAGTGAATTTGCGAAATAGTAAATATACAAAAATACATATTACCAAAAATCTCAATGTGGAAGTTAAAATATCGATAACAAAAAATGTTCATGGAACCATCATAGCAACCACTTAAATTAATTATTAATTAAATTATGCAAAAAAATATCAAAACAAAGATTTCAATTCAAATTTTAAACTCGCAATTTTATTTCTCGTAACAAGCTGCAAAGATATAGCAAAACTTGTTAAATCGCCCTCGTAACTCAGCAAATGTAGGTGCTATTCAAAATCTGACTGTGCTAGTGCTATACTATTAGTAATGTGCAAACTAATCTATGTTGCAGCAATAATAAAAGAGCTATCTACTATATCGCTCCAATCTAATTTTCCTTGGGGCCCAGTTATATTCTATCGCTTTAACTATCAACGAAACGAAACGAAAAATGAATTATTTTTAAAAACAAAATCTGAACAACCGATCTGGCAAGACAGCTGCATCGAATAAAGCTTCCGCGTGAAGCGAGAATTCAAATAACACCATTAAATTAGATTTCAACAAACCGTCAAGCGAACGCATTTTGCAGATCTAAAACGAGACGTATAACATCACCGGCATATTTCATACCGCTTCTGTTCTACTCAAATAAATGGATAAAGAATCATTTCTTTCATGCCACTAAAACAAATGCGATATACGCTCAGTTATAATTGATATTTAAATCCCGTCGAAAATGGAACGTTTAAATGTAATTATCCACTTGTGTTTTGCCGCATACACGAGTCTATAAAATGGAAGCGTTTAAACATTTTCTCGTAGTGAGAATGAAATGAGAGGACTAACGTACTGAGTTTTTGAAGCATGGCTCATCAGTCCACTTGGTGAACTACTAAACATTTGCTGGCTGGAAACGCACGATATTCTACAGAAGAAGAATTAAGTTTGCTATGCATATTATGTTACATTCCACCATTTTAATCTAAAATTTTAGTGGATGAAACATATAAGGATTCGGATTTTTTTCCTTCAAAAGTGCTGAGTTGAAACCCCTTTCTGCCAAAATTATAATAGTAAAATGATGCAACAAGTTTGATAAACTAAAGTATCGAGTTTGTTTAGGGACGAACGTTGCGAGAAGCAAGTCTTAATCAATTCATAATCTAATTGGAAAACGACAGTATTTAATGAAGTTGAGATTTTATAGTGACCTCTTGTGCGCGCATAATTGTGTACTTTAGAGTAGGGAGTAGAAAAAGCTTTTCTCCTTAGAACTTTAATTTTTTTTTTTTAAATCAAACTTTTTTTCTGAAAGTTTACTTTCTTTTTGCTCAGTTACCTAACAAAATTAATGATGCTTAAGATGGACCACCCTGTAGATTATATTATCGCACGCAGTCCGTGGATCAATTTAAGAAGGTAAATCAATTATACAAGTATTAAATCATTTTTTGACTCTAACTTTAAAACACTATGAAGAGTGATGCAGGCGGTTTTATCTGTTCATTAGTGGTCAAGCCACTTTATTTCTTGATTTTTGCGTTTTGGATTCACTTTAATATTCTAATTTTTTTAACGGATATGACTTTTGAGGAAATACCCATTAGTGACTTATTCGTTGAACTGAGGAGGCTTTTACTTGATGAAAATCCATTTTATCAAAATAAATAAGAACTAAAAGTTCAGATTTTCACGAAGTTATATATTATGACATGACAATTGTTTCGACAACACCGTGTCTTTATCAAATGTTCACATTTGATAAAGACACGGTGTTGTCGAAACAATTGTCATGTCATAATATATAATTCCGTGAAAATCTGAACTTTTAGTTCTTATTTATTTTGAGTGACTTATTCGTTATTTTTAATTTTAATTTTATTTTTTTTTAATTAAGATAAAACTTAGGTTTTTAAGTGGAAATTATAAAAAAGTTGCGTTAAGCAAGTTTTTAGTCAGAATTACATTGTTGATAAATTTACTTACAATATACAAGAAAAATAACTACAAAATAAAAAATAACTACAAAAATAAAGACAATATTGGGATCAAAATTTTGAACTAGCTGTAATATAAATTCCTTGTGGTATTATTAACAAACACTTTCGGGATTTAGTCAGCTGGCGTTGTTTATTATTACGTCGATAAAATGGCCACGGGTGTAAAGTGGTCCAACAGAATCGATTTCAGTGCCCAAACTTAATCAGTTGCAGGATTAGTTTCCAGGCAATTTCGGGAAAACGTATGGTGG